AGCTATAGCGCGCTGATACAAAGTATGTAGTGTCGCAATTGCGAGGGCTGTTCCTTAACTTATGAAGCACGCGATAGCGAGGGTTGATTATAAACTTATGAAATATCCTATATAAAGTGTTATGTGTTAACTTATATATATATTTTTATACCCTGAACCCATTAAAAATGGGTATAAGGGTATATTGTATTTGTGAAAATCCAAATGTATGTAACAGGCAGAAGGAAGCATCTCCGACCCCATAAAGTATATATATTCTTGATCAGCATCAATAACCGAGTCGATCTAGCCATGTCCGTCTGTCCGTCCGTCCATTCGTCCGCCGTCCGTCCGTCCGTATATATGAACGCAAGGATCTAAGAACATATAAGAGCTATAGACTCGAAATTATTTAATAAATTTAGATATAGGTGCTCCTAGTGCCTGCGCAGACCGAGTTTGTTTCCGATAATCGATAACTTACTCCGTTTTCCAAGCAAACGATAAAAATCGATATCGATATCCTGTTTTTTGGGCAATTTTGGTAAATAATAAGAGCTAGAGTCCCCAAACTTGACATATAGCTTCTAAAATAGAATATATATGCATTTGATGTTGAAAGAAGAGGGTTCAGGGTATTCACTAGTCGGGAGCTCTCGACTAGAATCTCTTACTTGTTTATTTTGGATTTTTTATTATTTTCTAGATTATTTAATTGGTACGATTTCATAAGCTCTATTGTTGTGTTGGGTTGAATTTTTTTACCCTGAACCAATTAAAAATGGGTATAAGGGTATATTGTATTTGTGCAAAATTCAAGTCGATCTTGTCAAGTCCGTCTGTCTGTCCGTCCGTCCGTCCGTCAGTATGTATGATCGCAAGGATCTCAGGATATATAAGAGCTATAGATTTGAAAGTTTAGATGTAGGCGCTCCTAGTGCCTGCGCAGATCGAGTTTCTTTCCGATGATCGATAACTTACTCCAAGCAATCGATAAAAATCGTTATCGATATCCTGTTTTTGGGCAATTTTGGTAATAATAAGAGCTAGAGTCATCAAACTTGACATAAAGCTTCTAAAAGAATATATATTTGCATTCGATGTTGGAAGAAGAGGGTTTAGGGCATCCCCTAGTCAGGAGCTCCCGACTGGAACCTCTTACTTGTTTTAGTTTTTCTTTATTGACTTTCTAATTCTCCTTTTTCTCATTTCTTATTATTATGTTATTATTATCCTCTATACTAATTACCTCAAATGGGCTAGTAAATACTGATTGTAGTTTATGAACAGTTTCGTTTTTAAACAAAACTTGGTCTCTTATTTCCATTTTAAAATTATTAATGTTCTTATCTTTGTATTTCTTATTTGTAACCTTATGTTTTTCTAACACAATACGAGCTCTCTTATAAGCGTTTTTTAATCTAAACTTTACTTCCTTAGCATAATCATCTATATTATATACGGGATCTATCATATCTATATTATTAAAATCAATGAACTGTTTTGGTAGTCTACCAAAAACTAGCTCGTATGGACAATAATGATGTGCTACCGAGGGTGTTGTATTGAAACAATAAGTGAAATATTGTATCTTAACATCCCAATCGGTGTTATCTGCGGAGATGTAAGAACGAACGTATTCATTGAATGTTCGATGACTTCGTTCTGCTGTACCTAAGGTTTGGTGATGATGTGCAGTAGACGTTATGTTGTCTATCTTTAAATATTTGTATAAATCATTTATTACTGAATTCCTATATTCTGTTCCCATGTCCGTAATGAACGACTTTATTGGACCGTACATTAGAATAAAGTTTTCAAATATAGCTTTGGCAACAGTTGTTGCACTTTTATTTGGAATTGGAATGGTTACTAAATACTTAGTTAAGTCCCATATTAACGTAACTGCGTATTAATTTTCATTCTCCGAGTGTGGTAGTGGACCTAGAGTATCTACTATCACTCTATCGAAGGCTTGTATTTCTGTTAATGTCATTGGGGTCTGAACATGTGTTGTAATTTTAGAAAGTTGGCATTTTTGTCATCTACGTACGTACTTCTTGACATGACGAGTCATGTTTTACCAATAGTAGTGCCTTCTGATTTTTGCTAGCGTTCCTGTAATGCCAGTATGACCACCTTGTATAGGATAATTGCTTCTTTATCTTTATCTGTTTCGATAAGGGTCACCGGTTGGAGTAGCGCTACTTTTAATGAATTCAATATTTTATTGCCCATCTCTTTAAAAGATTCTATTGAAATAGTTTCAAAAATTTTTTCACACGGTGCCACTTTGAATGGCTGATTTTTAGTATACCGGCTTGTTTTTGTTTTGTTTTTCAAGATTTCTTCCATCTTTTTTTCCATCTTTAAGTAAACATAAATTATTTGTTATGTGCAAGGTCACTACTTTCCGTACTTCACCATTGCAAATGACTTCATGTACGTTGGGCTTAGAAGCTTTATTAGGAACTTGCTTAAGCATAGTTTCATTTTTGATCACTGGCCAGAGATTATTTTGTCTACTTTGTTGCCTGGTAGTGACTTTCAGGACTTTGTTTTGTATGTCTTTTAATTCGAATATTGTTGTCCTCGCTAGGGCATCTGCCACGAAGTTGTCTCTTCCCCTTAAGTATTCCACAGTGAAGTCGTATATCTCTAATTCTAGTCTCATGCGAGCTAGTTTTGAACTTGGGTTAACCATTTAAAAACGGTACGCTAGTGGTCTGTGGTCTGTAAAGTGTTTTTCATAGATATGTTGTCGAAAATATACTATTGCCCAGTTAATTGCTGTTAATTCCTGTTCTGTAGTGCTCTTATTGCTTTCACCTTTGGTGAACGCTCTTGATGCATATGCAATGGGAAGTTGGAGTCCATTTTGGTTTTGGTTTAAACCGCTCCACATGCTTGGTTGCTTACATCTGTGATTATGCATAATTCTTTGCTAAAATCTGGATATTGTAATTGACTTGGTTCTATTAGCTTATCTTTTAGATATTAGAATGTTTGCTGGCATTCATCTGTCCATTGAAAAGGAAGATTTTTTTTTTACTTAATTTTGTTATATGCCGTGAATAATCGGCGAAGTATTTTATAAAGCGTCTATGGTAATTGCAGAATGCAATAAAACGTCTCGCACTGTCCGCATCATGTGGGACTGGTTAATTCTTGATGACATCATATTTCTTGTCATCTGGTAATATTCCTTTGTCTGTACACTTGTGACCATGAAATGTCACTTCGTGCATGAAAAATAAGCATTTTTCTGAATGTAACTTTAAATTATATTTTCTACTGAGTTTGAAAACGTCTTTTAAATTTTTAATCATTTGTTTTTCTGAACATCCAACAACGAGTAAATCGTCCATATAGAGGAATGTCGACTATTTCGATTTATCCTTGCTTTCGTTCAAGTTTACTTCTACTGATTCCATTAAATCAGTGATGTAGAATGTAGCTGGTGAATTTAGTGCATTCGGAACAAATATTTGAAAACTATGTCTTTCCGAAATATGTCTAATATTTTCACGCAGCCTTTTTAACACGTCAATTGATTGTGTTAAAAGTAAATTGCTTAACCTACGTTCATTGTTGCTTACAATTTCACGGACTTTGTTGTATGATTCTACTAGAACTTGAACTTGTTTCATTTTTGTTTGGTTTGATATTAGTGCACTTTTATTGAGGCACTTAAATGATCTATCAAACTCAGAACGTTTTTGCTTAGTAACGGAAATAAGTTCATTCCATTCCATTAAATATATATATTATTTATTAAACTTTTTGTTGACATAATTGTTTTTTTTTTTTTTTTATTTTGAATATATTTATATATTGTTCAAGACATTAATAACAATAATCGATGTAGCGGATTTTGTTAATTTTTTGTTTATTTTCTGGATTTTATCTAGATCGTTAGCCTTGCTCATATATTATTTTCGCTAACATTTACTGTGTAAATTGTACAGTTCAGAAATTAAGATAATTGTTAACAATGTGTTGGTCAGACCTAAATCTACATTACTGGATTCTACTTTATTAATTACGTTAGCAGTCGAATCCACTGTTTTAGATTCTATCAAAGGCATTTTGTATTACGCCAATTTCTCATAAGATATTATTTATGTCTGCCCTTTTACAAATCGTAGTGTTCTTTCGTTTAAATTAAAAAAAAAAAAACTTGTTTATACATATATATGGTGACATATCCATAGTTGCATAACTAACATAACTTAGCACATAAGCATAAGCACAAGTATAAACATTTCTATGTTGTAAACAAAGAGCCTGGTGATAACATCGACATTGGTCAAGATCAAACTGTCCCCCTTTGGTAGACATAAACAATTCACCCTAAATATCACGCCACTGTCAATGTTCCCATCAGAGCACTATCTCACGCATAATTGCTGACGCAGCTCAAACTTCACTCAATTTTGACTCAAACTCTCTCAAAGCTAAGTTTGCTAAGCGACCGCAACAGTTAGATAAATTAGTTCATATTCGGGAAGCAAATCTGAATGTACTCAACAAAAGTAGCCGTTAAGTGAAAATAATAAATTGAAATATATTTTTTTATAGTAACCTAACGTGTAAAACTTAATTATATATATCAATAATTTTGGTGTATTAAATTGATATTATTATTTTATTTTTTGTTCAATTCAATTCCCTGCCTATTGCTAGTATTATTAAATTATTTTTTCTTTTGAAACTTAATTTTATTTTAATTGCCTTTTGATATTTTAGCAAGTGGTATTTTCGTTATCATGAATTGCCATTATTGCCCTTTGGCTATATGTCTTTTCTCTTTATCTTTTTTTTTTTTTCTTTATCACTCGCAGGTGAATTTTCAATTTTTCCTGCCTATATTTTGTACAGCCTTTCAACATGTATAAAATAATAAATTTGAAACAAAAATTCGTAGTGGGCTCTTTGTAGCGCTGTCGGTCCACTGTCGAAATTCGTTCATGTTGCCGGTGCTGGTCCTCGCACAGGCCGGGATAATTGTATGTTGCCCTCTATTGCGCTCTTTGTAGCGCTGTCGGCTTGGCAATCTCGCAATTCAGTGCGCAGCCAATGTTGTAGAATGGACCCTCACAGTCCGCCGAACATTGATAGCTGTTTGAATAAGAGGAGTTACTTTCTTGTTTATAGTTTGTATCTAGCGGTAGGAGACGGATGGATTTTGATTTTCTGTTTATTTATTGTGCTTCACGAAACGAGCGCTTTTCATGCTTGGAAACAGAATCGTTCCATGCTGGCGGGTTATCTTGATCGTTCAAGTCTTTGCTGAGACGGTCAGTTTCCAACCTCAGTCTTTGTTTGACACCGCCGCGCTTTTTCTGTTTTTTTGGTTTCGTATCCATCCGCACTCTACTTACTCAGATATTTATTTGTTGTCCACAGCTATCCCTCCACCGCTGCTGTATTTGTATATGTTGCCAGAATTGTAGTAAATGGCATTTGCTGTTGCTGTTTTTTCGTTTAAGTTTGTTGTTGCTTGTTGCCAGCCTTCTTGGCTGCCTTTCCACTAGTTTTTGGGATGTTTTTTATTCACTGCAGGTTAGTGAGACCATTGTCACGGTCGCCATGTAATGTCGATACTGATATACAATTTAATTTAATACACGTCTGTGTCGTTTGACTTTAGTTTTCAGAATGTATTCGTCTCTCTTTACTTAAAATGGACTTAGCCTAAAGTACATAATAGAGTTTGGAGTTCTGTCGCTCAGAGCAGCGGCAGAACGGGAGTACATAACATGCCATATGTATTTGTATATATATCTTGTTTTATGTACATGCAGAATTCATATACATTGGAATGTGCTTGGGACCGAATGGTCAAAACGTTATAGTGCTTACGCTGCAAATCTCACGCTGCAGGCCAGTCCACATAAAAGTGGCTGATCATTTGCATGTAACATGCTACACTAGCGGCGCTAGTGTACTCCAAAACATACCGGAAGAGGAAAGAGAATTGCTGCTCAAGTTAAACGATGGCAGCGATATCACGAAAACTTTAGGCCTCGTTTGGGATCCCGCCTCAACCTTTCTTTTTTTTTTATCCACTGAACTACCCCCGAGACTACGATCAATCCTGTCCTCAATTGCTCGTTTTTACGGGCCCCTTGGTCTTGTTGGTCCTGTAATAACAAAATCTATCGAAAGAAAAACTAGACTGGGATGAGAGCCTGGGTCATCATATGCGCTGATTTTGAGTATACTCAGCAATTTCAGTATTCCCGTCGTGCACTCAGACATCGCTTATGGAGTATACGTCTATACTGTTTCAAAGATCCATGGCAACAAAAGCGTGTTGCGCCCATGAAAACCATCACTGTACCAAAGCTGTAACTCTGCGAACCTGCATTATTGGCTTAACTTATCTGCGAAATATACCAACTGAAAGTGTTTAACTGTTGTTATTACTGTTGGTTAGAGTCTGCAGTAGTTATGGTTTTGACTCGAGTCGCAACCTTTCAAGTCTCCGTTGTGGGCCCATGGCCCAAGTTTTCTCAGCAAAGAAAAGGAGGAGTGGCCTGCCTATTGTGTACCTGTCGAATCCTTGCCAAAATTTTGTAAATCGAATCAGAGGAGCTGAAGTAACTATAAGCCGCGTGCATCATGGCACACATCTGTTGCTGCGGTCAGTGCAAATGGTTATGACAAATGAAGATGACTACAAGGCTCTGACGGAGGAAGGCTTGTCAAACCATCTAGCTCAATGGCCTCTCTCGCGCCATTCCTTGACGACTTCGGCCTACTCGGCATCGGTGGATGGCTGAACAATTCGTCGTTGGACTTCTCAGCGCGACATCCGATTATATTGCATCCCCAGCATCCTATGACTCGAGCAGTAATAATCCACTCTTATAAACGGAACTTACATGCTGGACCTCGCACCTTATCGGCTTCAATTCGCCTCCAGTCCTGGCCCATTGGCGTTCGTAAGACAATCTCCAGTATTGTTGCCTTATGTTTTCGTGCCAACCCACGATTGGCAAATCACCTAATGGCAGATCTACCTGCTGATCGTCTCGACACATCGTATTATTTTATGGTCACTGGTGTTGATTGCTGTGGACCATTTTTTTTACAAGAGCGAAGTGCGCAACAGATCACCAGTCTAAAGCTACATTAGCATGTTCATATGCTTCGCTACAAGTGCGGTGCACTTAGAGCTTCTAAAAGATTTGCCCACGAAATCGTTTCTAAAAGCTCTTAAACGGTTCATCCTGACTCGCAATCGACCTTCAAGGATCTGGTGTGCGAGCGACAAGCTCCGTAGGTGCCAGCCGCGAAGCACCATTATTATTTGGATTCGTTGCGCACGCTCGTCTGTCATATCATGGATATTATTAATTCTTACTTCGACTTTTAGAGCATGCCGATGATCTTGACGTCTTGACACCCGCACACTTCCTGGGTACAGCGCATATTCGACATACAATGACCCTGATTTAAGGAAGTTTAATTTCAATCGGCTTAACTATTTTCAGCATGTTACATACCTCCAACAAGCATTTTGGGCCCGTTGGCGCGAAGAGGATTTAACGATTCTTCAACAGCGCTCCAAATGGCGTACCAACAAGGACTCTCCTTTAACGATGTCGTTTTTGTAAAGGATGAGAACCTATCGACGCTGGCCATTAGATATGGGGTATCTAGAGTTGCAGTGCTTCAAACAGCGACTGGGGTTATACCCAGAGCTGTACGAAAATTGTCTTTGCTATAAAAACAAGATGATGTGGAAAGCCCCTTGCGTTCCAACTACGGAAGGATGCTCTGTCAAGTGACCGGTGAGGTCAGCGTCAATCTTCGAGTTTGCCATCTTCTTTTTCTCTTTGGATGGATAAAGCTAGCAATGACACTGATTCTGCTAACCTCTTTGCTAATTTTTTCCAATCAACTTACTCTTCAGTCTGTCCTAATACTAATTCTTACCCTTATACTATTTCTTCCGCTAGTTCTATACCTCTCCCCATTATTTCACACTCTTACTCTCCTGGGCCGGACAATATTCCTATTTGTCTACTCAAGGCGTGTAGTTTCTCCCTTCTTTATCCATTGCTAAAGCTTTTTAATCTATCCCTTGAAACTTCTGTCTTTCCATCTCTTTGGAAAGAATCTTATATCATTCCTCTTCACAAGAAAGGTGGGAAGTCTGATATACAAAATTACAGGGGCATTGCAAAACTATCCGCTATTCCTAAATTATTTGAAAAAATAATCGGTCAACTACGACCAATCTGCTTGAGTTTACTTTCTTGGTAAATGATGCTTTCCTTACGAAAATGCAAACTGATGTCCTTTGCCCCGACTTCAGTAAGGCGTTTGACTCTGTGCACCATGACATTTTTTTTGTTAAACTTCACCGAATAGGTTTCCCTCTGTCTCTTTTACCGTGGATTAATTCTTATTTAAAACGTAGGACCCAAAGATTAATGCTGAGGCTGACTACCTCTAAACGGGTTCACGTTACTTCTGGTGTTCCTCAAGGTAGTCATCTTGGACCTTTACTCTTTTTATAAATAATCTCCCCTCTGTTATATCACATGCCCGTGTACTCATGTATGCGGACGATGTCAAACTTTTTCTATCATACACTAATCCCCTACATCATTCTCGTCTACAAGACGATTTTAACGCTATGCAACTGTGGTGTTCGGCCAATCAATTGCATCTAAATAGTTCAAAGTGTATGTTTACGACAATTAATCGTACTTCACCTTATCTTGTCAGTTATACAATCGACAATATCCCTTTGCAACGTATACTTACAGTTAAGGATCTAGGCGTTATTTTTGATTCTAACCTCTGTTTCAATCTTCACATAGATACCATTGTTAATGAGGCAAAAGGTGTACTTGGATTCATTAAACGATGGTCTAAGGAGTTTAACGATCATTTTATAACAAAACTTCTGTACATCTCTCTTGTTCGCCGTATCTTTGAATACTGGTCTTGGTCTCCACAGTATAACAATAGCCAGGATCGTTTTGAATCTATTCAGAAGCAATTTCTGCTTTTTGCCTTACGAGGCTTAAATTGGGACCCTAATCTTCGGTTGCCATCCTACTCCAGCAGACTGCTTCTTCTCAACCTTCCGTCGTTAACCAACAACGTAGGACAATTCTCGGTGTTGTCCTTCTACATAAGTTGATTATTGGCGACATAGATTCTCCTTTTCTGCTAGGGCGTCTTCAATTCTCTGTTCCGGCTAGACTAACCAGAAATTATCGCCCCTTATTCCTATCTACGTGCACAACAGACTACGCTATGCACAATCCTTTTCGCGTCCTATGTAAAAATTATAAAAGTTTGCGTCGAGTTTTCTCTACCGAACTGTCTCTACCCCTAATAAAATCGTTGCTTTCAGGGTACCTTCGGGAAGTCGCTGAACATTTCCAGCTATGAGCAGGGGCATAGCTTGCCGGAGAGGCTGAAAAATTTTCCCCCACCCGGTCGTTGACTTCCCATTACTTTTCTCTTTGTCCTATCTGCTTAATACTCTTTATCTAAATTACATTGTTTTACTTTATTAACAATCTTCTTACTTTCTTTTTTCCTATTTATTGTATTTTCTTTATTAATATAGCAAATTAAGATTATTTTAAATTTTCCTTGAGAAATCTTTTTTTCTACTTACAACCTTCTGGTTAGATGTAGGCTCTAATAGCGTCAGTTAGCTGTGAAAAGGGGCACAGCTGGCCGGACTGGCAAATAAAACACCCCTATCGGTCGGTGATGCTATTTAGAAAATTGTATTCCTTATAATTCTATTGTATAATCTATTGAATAATGAGGAAGATACTCGTTTTGTCGACCATTAATAAATAATAAATAAGTAAATAAATAGGATATCAATATCGATTTTTATCGATTGCTTGGACACGGAGTAAGTCATCGATTATCGGAAACAAACTCGATCTGCGCATACACTAGGAGCACCTACATCTAAAATTTCAAATGTCTCTAGCTCTTATAGGTTCTGAGATCCTTGCGTACATACGGACGCACGGACGGACGAACGGACGGACAGACAGACGGACATGGCTAGATCGACTCGGTTACTGATGCTGATCAAGAATATTTATACTTTATGGGGTCGGAGATGCTTCCGTTTGCCTGTTACATTCATATGGATTTTGCACAAATACAATAGTTTCGTTTTTCGCACCGACCTCGATTTTGAAAAAAATCGTGATGATTTTAAAGTTCTTATCTCTGCACGGAGTTCTGTCGTTTTGGAACATCATATCTCCGCGCGGAGCTATTAGCCGAGATATTAAAAAAATCATCGAAAAAGTTTCGATTTGCGCACCGACCTCGATTTTGAAAAAAACGTGATGTAACCCCTTGCCATTTTGTCGATTTTTTTTTTTTATGCCAATCGGTACAACTGATCCTTACAAGTCAAAAATGGTATCAAATTCCAAAATCGGACATTATTTTACGGAAATATTCCAAAAAATTGTACAAAAAGGTTGACATTACGAACGAATCGGTTTTTTAATTACAAAATTTTTTTAACAAAACTATGTTTAATTTGCTTGAATGCCAATTGATGGTAGGGATCCGTACGCATTGAAAAAGGTATAACATTTTAAAATCAGACATTGAATTAAGCACTTATGATTAAAAAAGGAAAAAAAAACGCAATAACCATGCTGTTAAAATGCGAAGCAGACCCGCATGAATGTGTGTTTATACAGAAATTCTTAAAGATTCAATTGAGCAGTTGCATATAACTTTTGTTTTAATTTAACCGATCTTTATGAAATCTACAGTATATCTTATTGTATCATAGAATATTTGTGTATACTGAAAAAGTAATTCTCAAATAAATTTTCGCTTAAATTGGTTGGCAATAAAAATTGGGTTATTAACTTGATCTATAGCTCTATGGTGGTGGTAGCGGAGAGGTGGCGATAGAAATAAAATGAAAGATACTTGACATATATATAATATTTTAGCAGCAACATATCATGTTTCGTGACTCTCTAGCTCATATTATTTACCAAAATTGCCCAAAAAACAGAATATCGATATCGATTTTTATCGATTGATTGGAAACGGAGTAAGTTATCGATTATCGGAAACAAACTCGATCTGCGCAGGCACTAGGAGCACCTACATCTAAAATTTCAGTCTAGAACTCTTATATGTTCTGAGATCCGTGCGTTCATACATTATGGGGTCGGAGATGCTTCCTTTTGCCTGTTACATACATTTGGATTTTGCACAAATACAATATACCCTTATACCGGTTTTAATGGGTTCAGTTTTAATGGGCTGGAGTCCCCAAACTTGACATATAGCTTCTAAAATAGAATTGATGTTGAAAGAAGACTGTTCAGGGTATCCCCTAGTCGGGAGCTCCTGACTCGACCTCTTACTTGTTTTTGTTGGTCTTCTGCAAATAGGCTATTTTCGTAACCAACTAATATTTTATTCGCTGTACGAGGACATTATTGGTATACTGTACAAAATTTGCATTTCATTTTTATGAAAATATTTAGTTGCTTTAAATTGATTTGCGTTGCTTTTTATAAAATAGTAATTATGTTGTTGTGATTATGTGGGCTTTCAGTTATGGATATATGACTTTCACTTATTTCTTGGGCACCATATAAATTTTTCGTTGTAAATTATCATTTATCTTTATTCGAGATAATGCTTCAGCAACATGATTTATTTTGCCTGGAATAAGCATAACCTAAGCTTTTTGGCAATGGCCTACCCATTTAGACTGAACCATATTACGATATAACCAGCACATAATAAATTGCGGCTGCTTAGAACCTTCAGCCTCGTTTAACGTGCAATGTTTTTTATAAAACTAGGTATACATGTATGTATGTAAAGGTTACTGCTCAACGTTGACGAAACTTTAGTTAATATTATTCTTGTAAGCTTGCTAATTGTCAAGTGCAGGAACATATTTTCTATTTACTCACTAAGCTTTTTTGCACAGCCTGCAACTTTGAGAAGTAATAAATGATTAAATATTTGTTATATGGGAAAAATAATGTATTTTGCTGACTTTAAAGTTAAAATAAAAATAAAAAAAATTTATAATAATTAAAGAAAATATGATAAAAAGATTATATCACCTATCTGTATATATTTACAAAGTTCAGATATAAGCTGCCGACTTACCGTGACGCCAGAACCGTGTTAGCTTGAGTATCCATTATTATATGACAAAAATAGTATGAACGGAATATACGGTGTTGAAAGATAACAAAAGCAAAAATAATTGCATGCCAGACCAGAGTGTTTTTAAAGATCATGCTGTTCGGACCATAATGGTAAATATAATTTCTTTCAGCTTGCTTATCTGCTTCTGTCTGCGGCAATGATTGATCATATTCCATAACTGCAAACAAACTTTGATAATCTTGTTTGTCTTTTATATCTAACATATTTCCAAACACAATAATGCAGACTTTTATGACAATGTTAAAAACATTGAATGCAATCAGAAAATTCCAGCGACATATGATGTAATGTATATTTTGTAAATATACTTCCGATCCTTGAAGCATAAATACTAAAGCAAATATCAAATAGCCTAATGACAACATATCCATACTGCAAACACCACCCATAAATACAACAGCTAGTGTAACCCAGAGAAAGCTACAGAATATAAGAGTCTTAAATACATCTGAATAGTTACGCACAAAAGAGCAAAAATCATGCGTAGGATTTCTAAAGTAAACATGGCCCAGCTTAGCAATGTTGTGTACAATGTTTCTGTTATCACCGCTCGGATATATCAAATGGTTATCTTGGCGAATTTCTACTTTAAATGCCTTACGTTGACGCGCTATAAGTAAAAGTACAATGAAATCAAGCATAAGTTTTGATTTTATGGAATCATCTAAGAGTCTCTCAAAAGTCGAATTATTTCTGATATGCTGCGATTCATTAATTGAAACTGAAACACTTCTTGTTAATAATATATTAGTGCTAAGTTAAGAACTTACCGTGACATAGATTCGGTGGAAAATGTATTAAATACACATATTGTACAAATATTGAAAGTACAAAATAAAGCTGCAACATATACCATATCCGTGCACACTGCAGACGTGTGAGACAGAGTAGAAGTATAAGCCAAAGGGCGTATGTTACTGAAAGTATATCACGTCTATGCACAATAGTTGAGACCAGCGCGATTAGAGTTATTTCGCATCCAAACTTGAAGTATCCATAGTTTAATAGATATTTTAATAATCCAGAAAAATTACGCTCTGCGTCTTGACGAGATGTTTTAGGAAAAATAGTTGTGCGGTCTCTAATCTCACCCATCGAAAATCGTATCAAATGATCACGTAGTTTGACTACAGCATGCAATGTAGTAACGATCATATATACAATGTACGGCGCTATATACCGTAATAATGCGCCCCAAATTTGATCAGTTTTTCGAAGACCCATCCAATCAGCAAAGTTTACTGTTTCGTTTTTCTGAAAACAAGTTTTATTCATAAAATTACAACTATAAGTATATCTATATATAAATAGGAATGCATCCTTACACATGAATAGTCATATTGTGTTTGATCCAAATATTTTATCTGATAGATCATTTTCATGAGTATTAAGACAGAAACCCAAAATGTAACTATACGAAAAATGACTCGTCGGAGAAAACGATTTATACCAACACTCATAAGCGATAATATGACAAGAAAAAGGTTGAAACAGCAAACTTCTGAAATAGCACAAGTAAAGGTGGTCAATATGACCGCTTTAATCATGTGCATTTCAAGAAATCGCCACGCAACCAATTTACTAGGTCGAAACCATCGACGAAGCCTGGATCGTAACCTCTTGTGCACTCCAGAAAATAATGATTTCCATGATTGTTTACGTGGAATATTAATTTTTTGGTGATTGCCAGTAGCCGCACTAAAGCGCACTCGAGAACCTTGACTTTTTTGATCAGTTGGTTTTGGCTGACGTACAGATTCCATAAAACGCCGGTGAAAATAATGCAGCTGTACCACAGTAAAAATAACTGTTAATGTTGGAATTAGCAAATGTAGAAAGAGATCTTTAGTGCGGTAGCGGCGTAAGCCTATATCATTTTGCCTAAGTGCATACATATAAGGAATTGATATCATATGAATGATTTTCGCTAGACTTACAGGGTGGGCTGAACATGCAGATATGTCTTCCAATAGTGGTCAAAGTAATCGAATTGATAAGTATATATAATAGTTAATATAGTCATTGCATAGAATATAACAAACATCCAATATCCATATAAAAACTTTATCCAGAGCTGCAAAGACATCTGAAAAACCATTAGAAATAGAAGAAATAGTGACATGTAGCAAATACGAAATCCGGTCATAACTTGATCAAGCATAGCACATAGAAATATTAAAAATATTAACATCCACATCCAGATACGTGTAACAAAATTTGAAACACTTTCGAAAATAAATATGATCGCCCGAGGCGCTCTTGACTTTTCGAATAATGTGTGTTCAGATCGGGAATGTTGCGGTCCAAAAATTTGAAGCAATAGATCGTTTTCAGCTTTATCTTTAGCTTTTTCCTTAAAATATTGATGTGAAGTTATCCAGAATATAAACAGAAATGTAGTCTTCACTGTTAACGGGATGCAGGGTTGAATTCCACTATCCCGAGGATGAACAAATCCAATTTGTTCAAGATTTAATCCGTATATCTATGAATAAATGTTTGAAAAATGAGAACAACATCCGTCTTAGGTATGTCAAAAACTAATATCTTTGTAATCAAATATTTTTAATTATTTTGCTTTACTGAGAAAATAACTAAATTACATTACACTTTATACAAGTTTTATACATTCCTTATATGGTTATATGTATTTTGTAACTTTGAGAATGAATTTTCAAGCATCACTGAATCTTTTTTACACCCATTGAAAATGGCTTAAAAGTGTATAATAAATCTGCAATATCGAAATACTGTTTTTTGGGCAACTTGGGTAACTATCAAGAGCTAAAGCCACCAAAAGTGATATTTTTAATTTAGAATAGTATATGTATTTCAAGTATATTTCATGTCATACCTATCGCAACCTCCACGCTACTTCCTCATAGCTATAAATCAAGTTAATAACCGAACTTGTACTGCCTACCAATTTAAGCTACAATTTTAATGCAATTAAAATTTTGAGAATACACAAATATTCTATGGTATTATTTCATTAAGATCGCTTTTGTTATGTTTTTCGGTATTTTGCTTGCGACGCAAAATCCAATAATTTCTCTATACATGTGCACACACACATTCATGCGCGTCTGCTACGACTTCGATTGTATTGTTTGACCTGCTTCTATTTGAATAAGTTTTCTTATCAACAAGACTAAATTATAAAGGTGGCTGTTGAGTAGAGGCGGTGGCAATTGGCGTGGTATATCGAGAGTTCGAGCCCTACCGTGGATGCTACTTTTTATACCCTGAACCCATTAAAATTGGGTATAAGGGTATATTGTATTTCTGCAAAATCCAAATATATGTAACAGGCAGACAGAAGCATCTCCAACTCCATAAAGTATATATATTCTTGATCAGCATCAATAGCCGAGTCGATCTAGCCATGTCCGTCTGTCTGTCCGTCCGTCCGTCCGTCCGTCGGTCTGTCCGTCCGTATGTATGAACGCAAGTATATCAGAACCTATATGAGCTAGAGACTTGACATTTTAGATGTAGATGCACCTAGTTCCCGCGCAGATCGAGTTTGTTTCCGATAATCGATAACTTACTCCGTTTCCAAGCAATCGATAGAAATATCGACATCCTGTTTTTGGGTAATTTTGGTAAATAATAAGAGCTAGAGCCACCAAACATCATATGTTGCTTCTAGAATATTATATATATGTCAATTATCTTTCATTTGATATCTATCGCTTTCTCCCCGCTACCACCACACAGCTATAAATCAAGTTAATAACTCAACTTTTATTGCCAACCAATTTAAGACACAATTTAAATGCAATTGACATTTTCAGAATACACAAACATTCTATGGTACAATAAAATATTCTGTAGAAAATTTCATAAAGATCGGTTAAGAAAAAAACAATGTTATATGCAACTGCGCAATTGAATGGGGCAGCAGCTTTAAGGATTTCTGTATAAATGTACACATAAACGTTCATGCGCGTCTGCTTCGCATTTTAACAGCATAGTAATTGCGACTTTGTTCTGTTATGCTGTTTTAGTTCCTTTTTTAATATTGGCACTTAATTATATGTGTGTCTGCTGAGTAGAGGCATAGCAAGTGGTGCGGTCTGTCGCGAGTTCCGGCTCTACCCGGGATAGAATTTTTTTCAGGTGTGGCTGTTGAGTAGAGTCGACAGGAAGTACTGCTGTTAGTTGCGAGTTCGAACCCTGCCAAGGGAACTTTTTTTAAAAATTATTTGATGATGGAATAAGAGGATTTAGGGTATTCTTTAGTCGAGAACTCCCGATTTGAACCTCTTACTTGTTTGGAATATTTCCGTCAAATAATGTCCAATTTTGGAATTTTATACCATTTTTGACTCGTAAGGATCAGTTGTATCGATTGGCATCATAAAAAAAAAGAAATCCAAAATTTTGACACAAAGCGACAAGATGGCAAGGGGTTACATCACGTTTTTTTTTTTCAAAATCGAGGTCGTTGCGCAAATCGAAACTTTTTCGATGATTTTTTTCTCGGATAATAGCTCCGCGCGGAGATATGACCTTCCAAATCATAACTATGTTTTTCAAAATAGACGTCGGTGCAAAAATCGAAACTTTTTCGATGATTTTTTAATGTCTCGGGTAAATAACGTCTTATTTTAAAATGTTATACCTTTGTAAATGCGTACGGATCCCTACCATCAATTGGCATTTAAACAAATTAATCATCGATGGGTTGAATAATGTTGTTGACAAAAAACCGATTCGTTCGTAAATTCAACGTTTTCGATTATTTTTTTGAATATTTCCGTCAAATAATGTCCGATTTTGCAATTTCATACCATTTTTGACTCGTAAGGATCAGTTCTAACGATTGGCATCAAAAAGGGAAAAAGGAAAGGGAAAAAGGGAATCCTTCCATACGTCCGTCCGTCCATCCGTATGTATTAACGCAAGGATCTCAGAACAAATAAGAGCTATAGACTTGAAATTTTAGATGTAGGTGCTCCTATTGCCTGCGCAGATCGAGTTTATTTATATATAATCGATAACTTACTCCGTTTTCCAAGCAATCGATAAAAATCGATATCAATATCCTGTTTTTTGGAAACAAAATTGATCTGCGCGGGAACTAAGAGCACCTACATCTGAAATGTCAAGTCTCTACCTCATATATGTTCTGAGATCCTTGCGATCATACATTCGGACGAACGGACGGACGGATGGACAGACAGACGGGCATGGCTAGATCAGCTCGGCTATTGGTGCGGATCAAGAATATATATACTTTATGGGGTCGAAGATGCTTCCTTCTGCCTGTTACATACATTTGCATTTTGCAGAAATACAATATACCCTTATACCCATTTTTAATGGGTTCAGGGTATAATCATCGAACAAGTTTCGATTTTCGCACCGACCTCTATTTTGAAAATAAGCGTGTTGATTTGGAAGGTCATATCTCCGCGCGGAGGTATTACCCGAGATATTAAAAAAATCATCGAAAAAGTTTCGATTTGCGCACCGACCTCGATTTTGAAAAAAAAAAACGTGCCCCTTAACATTTTGTCGACTTGGGTCGAAATTTTGGATTTCCTTTTTTTTTTTGATGCCAATCGATACAACTGATCCTTACTAGTCAAAAATGGTATAAAATTCCAAAATCGGACATTATTTGACGGAAAAATTCCAAAAAATAATCAAAAAGGTTGACTTTACGAACGAATCGAATTCAAAAAGGTATAACATTCTAAAATCAGACATTGAATTAAGCACTTATGATAAAAAAAGGAACTTAAATAGCACAGAAAAAAATCGCAATAACCATGCTGTTAAAATGCGAAGCAGACGCGCATGAATGTGTGTTTGTACATGTATACAGAAATTCTTAACGATGCTGCTATATTCAATTGCGCAGTTGCATAAAACTTTGGTTTTTTTTTAACCGATCTGTATGAAATCTTTTACAGTATATCTTATTGTATCATAGAATATTTGTGTATACTGAAAAAGTCATTTGCAAATAAATTTTGGCTTAAATTGGTTGGCAATAAAAGTTGGGTTATTAACTTGATTTATATCTCAGGGGTGGTAGCGGAGAGGTGGCGATAGGTATAAAATAAAAGATACTTGACAAATATATAATATTTTAGAAGCAACATATCATGATCCGTGACTCTAGCTCTTATTATTTACCAAAATTGCCCAAAAAACTGGATATCGATATCGATTTTTATCGGTTGCTTGGAAAACGGAGTAAGCTATCGATTATCGGAAACAAACTCGATCTGCGCAGGCACTAGGACCAGCTACATCTAAAATTTCAAGTCTATAGCTCTT